TTGGTTTGTAGTTCTTCCACTCCCTAAGAGTACAGGAGCCATTCCGGGACATTTTTTTTTAATTATTAAAAATGTCAATTTTTTTAAGGAAGAAGATGGTCCGGGGTGGCGGTCATAAATAGACTAAATAGTGACAAAACTATTCAGCTAGGAATTTTAGCTTAACACACCTCCCTGAAGAAGACCTGTTAAGTCGAGTCGAAACGTTGGCTTTTATTAAAATAGTTTTTCCACTATTTAGTCTATTTATGGCCGCCACCCCGGACCATCTTCTTCCTTAATAATACAACGGTCAACTATTAAATATTCAATATAAATCTTTTTGTTTCGTTGTAATCCGAAGTGCTCAAAGGGATCATAGAGATATTCTGCTCTGCATTTCTTTTTAATAGATTTTGTCGAAGATTATATAATTGTAGTATTTTATATAGACTATATATTTATATATACTATTTCTTTTGTAGACTGTATAAATAGCAATATTTTTATTTTTAATAATAAATCTCTGAAGCATAATGAACCCTTAGAAATTGATGTTCGGTGAAAAGTGGAGCAAGCTCGGAAAGCCACACGAATGCTTCATCCTGTCTTGTGGAACGACGGAGTTCTAAAAGAAAGCAAGCGAACGATATATCATTCCATCTTAGAACCCATCCTGACGTATGCAGCTGAATCCTGGACCATGTCATCCCAGCTATATTCAAAGGCACGAACTATGGAAATGGACTTTTGGAGAAGATGCATACGTGTGACAAGAATGGATAAAATTCGGAACGAAGTCATTAGGATGGAGGCTCCTTTATCCGTCAACCAGAGCAGAGAATTGGACGGCGAACATTGGTGTGGTACGGTCATGTAAGACGCATGTCTATCGAGCGATGGCCTAACCGAATTCTAGATTAGCAACCGCCGAGAAGATGGAGGCGAGGGCGACCCAGAGTGGAAAAGGAGGTGGCTGGCAGGGGTCTTCAGGATGGGGATTGGCCCGACCTCGACCTCTGGAGCTCAGCCCTGACGTGAAAGGCGACCCTCGTCGGAACGCCTATATGATAATAATAATGGACCTCATTTGATCCTTTTTTCGGTTATACTTTTTTTTTCATTTTTACTTCAGCCTTGAAGGCCATTTTCAAGGGAAGAATAAAATAAAAATATAAAATTAAAATTAAATCATTTAGGCTAATTTTCCCTGGTCACATACAGTATTATAATATAAGTGGTTGAAAAATAAGACGATTGCGTTTTAGTACATCGATGTAAACCATGATAGAATTATGCTTAATCTAAAAAAATAATGTTCACATCCTATAGTTCTGCCGCTGATACATGATGGGTTTTTTTGGAGCTAAACTTTAGCCTTAAATAAAAAATTAAAAAAACGGCATTTTTTTAATTCTGAAGATGTATTGATATTTGTATTGTTTTTGCCACACTTACGTACTTAAATTAGAACCTCATTTTCACATTTCATATTTTCCCGATGTTAAAGTTGTTTTGAATAGTTATTCTCTCAATATATTTCTTTCTTCCTTTGCTTGTAGTTATTTTATACTAATATTTTATTTATTTATTGAATAATATAACAATCTCTCACAAGGACATTACTTATATGGAGATAAGATAACATTCACACAATCTGAACAGAAAAGATAAAAAAAAAAAGTATATACAATAAATAAAATAAAACAACTTAAAGATAAATAAATTTGTAGTTATTAGTGTTTAATGAATTGCAAAATTTAAATTCATTTCTTAACATCGTGCCTCGCGTGACTGGAGTTAAAACACTATCTCCCAGAGCACGCCACCAGCGATTCATTGCGGCTGCCATTCAATCTCGAACCGAACGCCTCGTTGAGTGCGTCCGTACTAGGCAAGGTACATTCCAGTCGGAATGCTTTCCGAGACTTGGTACTCCATATTATTCTCCCGTAGCATTTCCTGTTCGCTAATTTAAACCAATCAATATCTTCAACCTCTGGGTCTGTCGAAGTCTCGTCAAGCTTCGTAAATATTGAAGTAAACAATTAAAATGAAGCTGATCGTGGGGATTTGTATAACCTTTATTGGCACCACTGTACAAACGTCAGTCCACCTTTTCCAGTTGGACAAGATCCCATGTTCACGGTATAAATGGAATTTCGATTGTAGCCGAGGATTGACAACTGATCACAGCATCCCAAATTTCCCTTAATTTTTAATATTTTTTTTATTTATTAAAATTTACAACTGTACTTAAATAAATACTAATAATAAATATGAGTAAATCAAGAGTAATATCATGACTTGTGGAGACACTACCCAATGATAGCACTCTTTAAATAGTTCTATCAAGAAGTCATCTTCTTTTCAGATGGGTAGGAGGATTATAGAGAATTCAGGAATAAGTAAGGCTGGAAACATGTGGATTCGGATGAGACTGGAGTTTTTCATGAAAGGATATATATATATCTTGCATGGGCTAAATCAGCGACATTCCCTTAATTTAGATCGCGATTTACGACTTTGGCGAACTCCTTACAGGACCGTTAAAATCCAGGCATTGATTACTTCTAATTAAATCTCTTATTTCGACTCCCGCTCGCTCAAAATGGATGAACATTTCTCCAACGGGTCCTTTTCAGTTGAGGTTTTATGAGCCTTTCCTTCAGACTGTTCAATTACTTCTATATACTTTCCAACACCCTTGGCCGTTCTTGGGATTCCTTTATGGGGTGATCATGATATCTTGTGGAGTGATATTTGTACAGTTGTATCCTTTTATTTAAAAGTAAATTTTTTTTTATTTACTTAAACCCGTTACTATGCATCTAGTATTACGAGGATCATTTAATAATTGTATACGTTTTTCTAACTAGTTCCTTTGATCTTGATATGATGAAAATCTTTTTAAAGGAGTAAAAATAAGGAGGTTGAAGCTTACTACCTCCTTTTGCAAAACGAAATCTCATGTTTCTGAGACAAACGGTCATCTTCAATTCTCGTTTGCTTTGAAAAAATTAGTCACGCCAAAACTTTTCGGATTTTGTCAGCAATTTTTTCAACTTATACCGTAATTTTTCTTGGCTCAGTTAATAAATACGAGATTGCAACATGATGGCTAATAAAGCTGGGAGGCGCACTTAAAGCATCTGGATATTTAATTGGTTGCATCAAGTATCTCAATTGTGCTTTTAAAATTAAGGCTGTCCTATTTTGGACATTAGATAAAAGAAAACAAAAAAAGGTTTTTTTTATCTTTATCTTTTCTTCTATACTAGTACCTTTTCTTCCAGGTTTAAATAAAAACTAAGGTCTAACCTGGGAAATATTAAACAAACGAATATGGTACACTTTTCTCTTTGAATAAACAGTGGGAATGAATATTGTTTGGGTGTGGGAATGGTCCGAATCCATTTTCACATTGTTGGAAAGTTTACGATACTGCAGGAAGGGGGAAAGGAAGCTGTATTTCAAAATTAATGTTGGCGACAGGGGGGCTGTTCCTGTCTATATGGCTCCTCCCCCCCTTCCCACTCCGCCATATCTCTCAACTTATGCCATGCGTCTATTTCAACATGTTTCTGCAACAACTATTATTTCAATCTATATGGCAGTTCATGTATTTTATTTTAACAAAATAATTATAGAAATAAAATCAATAGATAATTGTTTTTCCTAAGTTCAGTTGTTAATACCAGTATTTTTTTTTCCATTTATTGAGTATTGCAACAATCTGTCTCTTGAACATAATTTATAGTGAGGTAGGATAACATTGGCACTATATATACAAAAAATATAAAATAAATAGAAGCATAATAATAATCAAAAGTATATAAAATAAATAATAAAATAAAATAACCTAACAATAAGAAAATTAAAACTAACCAAAAAACACATGCATACCTATATAAACTTACCAGTGTTTAAAAAAACAAACAGAACTTTTAATAGAAATACATTTAGAATAAATTAATAAAGATTTGGTTAAACGTTTGTATAAATATAAAAGTAGGATAATTAATATAAAGGGCCTATTCATGGTAAACCACTAAAACTAACCAAAAAACACATGTATAGCTATATAAACTTACCAGTGTTTAAAAAAAAAACAGAACTTTTAATAGAAATACATTTTAAATAAGTTAATAAAGCTTTGGTTAAACGTTTGTATAAATATAAAAGTAGGATAATCAATATAAAGGCCATATTCATACTAGACAGTTCTATGCTCTACATATTATTTTTTTTGTCTAGTTGAAATAAATTTCAAGAGTTTTCGTTGATTTTTTTTTTTAAGTTTCTTTGAAAACATTTATTTCCTATTCAATGATATAATTTTTTTAAAATTAATATACATTCACACCATATTTACAGAAAATAATAATAAATAAAATCAAAACAGAAGCAAAATAACGATATGAAATTAGAATTTAACTACAACAATTGGGAATATGGCTGCAATTAACCTTAACAAACTTTAGAATTATTAATTTAACTATACGAAAATGAATATTAATTTCTTTTGAGGACACTATTCAGTATCAAAATCCTTTCTCCAACAAAAAATGTTAATTTTTTTATGTTTTGAGGTATGCTGAACACGAATCCAAAGGTAAAAAATGTCTACCAGGCATCATTTTATGTCAAATTCGTGTTTTGGGTCAAAAGTGGTGTGTTTTTCGATATTTCGGTAATTTTTTAATAGTGTTGCCCAAATGCGAGACCATAGCGAGTCTTGCGCATTTGCTATAACAAAAATGTCGAAATACCATTTAAAAGTACATTATCAAACCGTTGTAGAGTGAAGACAAACGGTTTGATAATGTATTATTCGAAATAACATTATAGCTTGATCCATTAGTTTCCACAAAACCTGATCACCAAAAGCCGCACACACTACAAAACTAAGAATATTTTAAAAGGCCGTATAATTAAATCAATCATATTTAACAGTTTAATAATAAATTTTGTATTAATTATTTTATAAAAATATTTATAACTTTTTGATTATGTTTCAGGTAGTTCGTAGTAGATAGCAGCCATGGCGTTCGCCGGCCTTAAAAAGCAGATAAACAAATGCAATCAGGTATGTACACCATCTCTTCTCGTATTTCATATATATTTAGTTAGGTAGTTATATATTATTGAATTGCTGTAGATACATTTTATTTCTTTTTTTATTTTATCTCAACCTATCAACATAGTTTTTCGATTTCTTGTGAAGTTTTATACATATCATTTGTTTCAAATTGATAAAACAATTTTTAGACTTCCTACAAAGTTTGATATATTTATTATGCAGGTTTGATCTTTGTTTTTTTATAGTGATTCATTTGCCTGTTGGTCAGAAATAAATTGAACAAAATTAGTCTTTGATGGCAAGTTTATTTGAACTTTTCGCTTTCAGCAATTCTCTTCAGCAATCTAAGATGTTACAATAAATAGATATTTTTAGGTTCAGTCATGAATCATATATTCATAATATGGTTCAGTCATTATTAATAAAGATATATAATGCTTAAAACCAACATCCCATAAATAAATATAACAATTCATCTATACAACACTGCTAAAAACAATATAAAACTTACATATTATTCTCCCAAGATAAGATTAGTCAGTGGTACTTAACTAAATGGATTAAAGTAATAGTCCGTGGTATAGACCTCTTTTTATGTAATTATTAATATCCGCCTGAAACTTCGAAACTAGCTTCATCTCGTCGTAACCTACAAATATTTTATTTACCAAAATTCTCGGAATTGGGGCGTATTCAATTTGGAAGGGGGCAAACTTTGTTTATTTAATTATGTATTAAAAACTTGTAAGTACCCATTTGCTTTCCACCTGAATCGTAAGATAATTTCAGCACAAAATCGGAAAAAAAGATGGCCTTCAAAAATATTGAGCCGTTTGGCGTGGACCTACACTCCCAAATTTTCAAAATGACGAGGACAAAAGGCCCAATATTTTTGTAGGCCACATGTTTTATCGATTATGTGATCAAATTATCTGGCAAGGAAATAGGTATTTACCAGTTTTTATTACCTAATTAAATAGGCGAAGCTTTCCTCCAGATTGAAAACGACCTAATTTCAAGAATTTTCGTTTTGTTGTTGGTTACGATGATATGAAGCTATTTACGAAGTTTCAGGCGGATGTTAATAATTTGATAAAAAGGGGTATATACCACGGACTATAACATATTAAGGTTGTAAGTAGGAGTGATGAAGATATTAAATGTGTTATTTTATATTATTGTCCCAGGTGTCACGAATAAGTCCTCTTTTATATTCAAAATTTGTTCCAAATATTTTTTTATAAATAAATTTTCTTTTCTTTTTTAGTATTACTTTCCCTGTCTAATTTTAAAAAGACTAATTTTAATTTATTTCTGGCCAATAGCCAAATGAATCACTATAATATATTTTTTTTATTTATAAATTACTATACTTTTGACAGATATTTATATAATATTATATTATTATTTAGTTTTGTGTTGAACTATTACCAATCCGAGATGATGTATAGACATAAGATATTAGATGAATAGAGTGATACAAAGAATTTTACGTGTTTTACTTTTTATAAATTGTGTTTATTATATGACGTTAGTATCGTGACCCTGACATTTCAACTCCTAGTTCATATTAGCATATTGCGTGTCAGAGGAATATGTATTTTTATTCGTAAAGGATTATCCTTCCTTTAAAATACCAACGTTAAAATATATTTACGAATACATTTATTGAGTCCAATGTCCTCGTTTACAGCCATACTTCACCTACTTCATTGTTCAACACGTTCTTAAAATTAATAACGTAGGAATAGTTGTGTTTTAGATAGATGCTTTAATTCAATAAGATGATTAATTTTCTTTTAATAATAAATAAATAACAGTAAAATATTTTAATTTTACTTAGTGATTAGATCGAGAATAAAGAATAACGAGTTAATAACAACTATTAAGTACGTTTTATTCTTCGATCTAAGCTTTATCCTAGAATTTTTAATTAAATACTGAGATTTTCAACCACCAAAAGGTGATAATCACAGATCCTTTTATACGGTTAAGTTTCTTGAAAAAAATTTCGGGATTGTCATATTTTTCCAATAGGTGTGCCAATAACTTTACCTTGTTACTTTACTTAGAGTGTTGTTTATTATTTGTGTTAAAAAATTGAAGAATCTTTCTAATTTATATGTATTCAAAAACATGTGTAGGATGTTTACGTAAACAATGGAAATATTAAAAGAAGTGATAATAAATATTAAGGGCTACAAAAATGTTTACTTGAGTAATACAATGTCGTACGAAGATATCCCTTATCACTTAAATCAATTTTAAAACTGATCATGGGTCCACCACGACACTTTTACTATTAAAAGAATATGATATAACACAGAATCATCCTAACAATGACACAATAGAAAAATGGCATGTCTTGAAGAACAGTGAGTTTCCTGAACAAGGGATAGTTTAGGCAAAATTTTTGCCGTACTTTAGTCGAAAATTTCCAATATGTTGGAACAATATTCTCCCGTTCAAATCAAGTTCATACAATCAAATGGTCGAAGTTTTATTGTTTAAAAGGGCCTTTAGGACCTTAATCAATTTTTTTTTTTAATTTCTTAATGATATTTACAACTGTATTAAGGAAATACATTTAGTGAATTTAAACATATAGATATAATGACGTGGAAACAGTTGTTGAGAAACTACCCAATGGTAGAACTCTAATAATATGTCTACATTAGGAGATCACGGGACCATCTTCTTTTCAGACGCCTTGGAGGTTTATCAGGAATTGAAGAGGAAGCAAGGTTAGAAACGAGAGGGTTGAGATGATTCTGAAGTTTATTATGTTTTATTATCTGGATTGTGCCATATCTGAAACATAAGAAACATTAAGGTCATTATATATGGTTTCGTTTGTAACAAAGTAGGGGGCATTGAGGATTTTGGATTGTAAGGATTGTATACGAGAGAAATTCGATGTTTTAGTGCAGTCCCATAACTCAACTCCGTATGTGCAAATAGGCCTTATTATAGTCATGCATATGAGTCTTTTGTAATTAATTGAAAGTTTAGAGCGTTTGTCTTGTGAGTGCTGAAGTAATCGGAAACTTCGAGCGGTTTCTTGTCGTTTCAGTCTGGTATGGTATCATCTTAATAACTAAAGTGAATAATAATAATTAGCCGTGAACATAAATGTTATAGGTATTAATCGCATTAATGTCTTCCACCTTTATCTTTTCGACTTAATATCCTTTTTATTGCATCCAAAAATATGAAAACATAATCCTGGATGACGCAGATAAATCAGACTTATTTGAAACATTCGTCAAATAGCCAATTTTAATAGTATAGGATCGAAATAAGGCACAATAAGATGTGATTAGATTCACAAATGTGTGATGTAATATATTTATAAGAAATATTTATATATATTTATAAGAAATATTTAATATATTAGTATATATACATTAGTATATATATAGTATATATACATTATATTAATATATATATATATATATATATATATATATATATATATATATTAGTATATATATATATATATATATATATATTAATATATTAATATATTAATATATATATTAATATATTAATATATTAGTAATATATTTATAAGAAATATTTATTTGATAATGAAAAAATTTAAGTATTAGAAATTAATGTCTACTCTTACCGTATATGAATTTGTATCTAGTCTTGGCATATCCACAGGTGTAGTGTTAAGAAAAAAGCAGTGTAACTATAAATTACAAAACTACAACTTTGTTGTTGCAAATGCAACTACTTTTTGTAGTGAGTAGTTGGTGAGCAACTACTACATTTTATCAACTGCAAGTAGTAGAAACTAATGAATACAATTAATGTTATTGCAATTGTAGCCCAATTCAGCATAGCGCTACCGCTCGAACTACATTAATAAATGAACTTATTTGGAAAAAAAAAATAAATTCGGCGGTTTTATGTTAGAGAGTACAAAAACATTTTTTTTTTCTGTAACAAATGATAAAACTACTTAATCATTCTTACAAGCGGCTCCCCCAGGAATGATGAATCATAATCTTTTTCCAAGACACCCAGGCTTTGTCCGACCATCTCTTGATGACTTTGGGGTCGTCAAGTCTTTCTCGGGTGTGTCTTATCTTTTAGGTCGAAGTATAATCTAATGGCCGCTAAGTGGGTTTACGTGCAAGAAAATAAAATAATGGAGATTAATTATTTTTTTTTTAATTTATTTATTTATATGATATTTACAACTGTATACAAAAAAATACATCTGGTAAATTCGCACATGGATTTAATGACATGAAACATATGTTGAGAAACTACCCATTGGTAGCACTCTAATAATATGTCTATATTAGGTAATCACGGGACCATCTTCTTTTCAGACGCCTCGGAGGGTTATCAGGAATTGAATAGGAAGCAGGGTTAGAAACAAGAGGGTTGGGATGGTTATAAAGTTTATTATGGAAGGAAAGATATCTGGATTGGACCAAATCTGATACATAAGGAACATTAAGGTCATTATGGATAATTTTATTTGTAACAAAGTAAGGAGCATTGAGGATTTTACGAAGGATTTTGGATTGTAAGGATTGGATGCGAGAGGAATTTGAAGGTTTGGTAGAGCCCCATAGCTCAACTCCGTAAGTCCAAATAGGCCTTATTATAGTCATGTAAATGAGTCTTTTATAATTAATTGGAAGGTTAGAGCGTTTGTATAGTAAGTGTTGAAGTAGTCGGAAACGTCGAGCTGTTTCTTGTCGTTTCAGTCTAGTATGAGGATTCCAAGTTAGGCGTTTGTCCAGATGGAATCCTAGGTAACGGATTTGTTCAACAGGAATAAGTGAGGTGTTGTTAAAGGATACTGAAGGACAGGAAGTCATTGGTTTACGACGAAGGGTGAAGGTAATTTGATGGGATTTATTGGAATTTATTTTAATTCTCCAGTTCTGACACCATTTAATTAATTAAATGAAAAAAAAATCGCAAGCTAATACTTGGAAAAGTAACTGAAAATGAAAAAAATAACACCATTCTGTTAGAAT